AGCCAGTTCCCCCCATTAAACCAAACGCTGGTGAAGAGTCAGTTGCTAATCTTGACAAATTAAGGTTTGCTAACGGGAGCATAAGAACTTCAGAAGTGCGACTTAGCATGCAGAAGGTAAGTCTGGTGGAGCTCTCAGCTACAGGGTGGGAGAAGCTGCAAGCAGCAGTGGGGTTCGGCCACTTTGCAAAGTGCCCTTCAGGATTTGCTTTGCAGAAGTAAAAAGTGTGTGTTAAGATTGTCTGTGTGCAGCAAAGCTTGTATGTCTTCTGTTCATTTCTTCTTCCCTTCATGGTCATTCCTCTTGTGTGGTTTACTTGCTGTATAATAGAGCGGGGTTTCATTTGTTTGTGGTGAACAGAAGAATGTGGCGTTTTTGAGGCTAAAGACAAGTTTGAAGTCAAACTAGCTCTGTAGTAGGGTCTGTTGGAGCTAAGGAAGTTACATGGGTTCATATGCAGCATATCAAACTGATTTTGTTTTACTGTGTTGCAGGCAATGCAAAACCATGCTGCCGTATTTCGTACTGGTTCTGTACTCCAGGAAGGCTGTGAAAAACTTAGCCAAATTTATGGTGATCTGGCTCATCTAAAGACTTTTGACAGAGGTAATTTGATAGCAAAGAATATACCTTGGGCAGAGTACTCTCTGGGAAAAGTGTTGGTGTTTGGGGTTTTTTCCTATAAACTTTATGTATTTCTTGAAACTTTGGCTGAAGACTTTGACTATTTTGAATCTTTCAAAATATTTTGTAGAGCTCTACTTACTAAACGTGGTAATCAGTAAAATACTTGATCTTATTGGTCACTTTGTGGTTGCATAATCTTTGAAAGAAGCAGAGACTGAAATTGGATTTAACTGTGTGAGGTACAAATTGCTCTTCTCTCAGAATATGAGGTGAAGTTGTTCTAATATTAAGATGAATGATGAACTTCATTAGTATCTTCTGAAAAGGCCAGGGAGTTGCAAGACTATTCATAGGGTTAACAGTTTTCATTCTTCATCTGAGCAGATCACAGTGCATGCAGATACTGCCATGTCTTGCAGTGTATCTTAAGAGAACTTGGTTATTTAAGTACAACTGATGATGTACCTTTTGTTCACTTACACGTTTCTCTTCATCTACTGCTGTTGGACGTGTTTTCTAACACTAAAAATAGAGCTGGGTTTCTTGGACAGCTCTTGCTAAGCAGCAAGTAAAGTGTTAACTTAGAATGTAGGGATCAAAATGGACATACGTATGTGTAAGTGAATTTGTGTCCATCTTGAAGAACCTTGTATAACTAGCAGGATTTATTTTCCTCTCTCAGATGGTAGGAGGGAAGGGAAAGCCCTGTTGCGTGGATCTACTCGGGATATACTTCAAAGAGTTATCATCTAGTCAGATCTTGGGGGCTGAAATGAGGCATGGGGACTGAGTTGCAGGCAAGAATCTACGGTGTAATTTTGATTCAGTAGTACATATGCAACAGGGACTGGTAGAACAGTAATTTTTCTAAGATTCATGATAACTGTTAGAGTGTTGGAGTCATTCCTGAGCTTTGCAGGCAATGTGAGTGATTCAGTGTTGTGGAGGACTGTGGCTGCAGTATATAGAGCTTTGGGTAGCTCAGTTCTTAAGTATCAGCAACAGGACAGAAGTAAATCGAGGAATGACTTGTTTGTAGACTCTTTTCCATAGTATTTTAATATTTTACTAGGTATTGTGTGGAACACTGACTTGGTGGAGACCCTCGAACTGCAAAACCTGATGCTTTGTGCTCTACAAACCATTTATGGTGCTGAGGCCCGCAAAGAGTCCCGGGGTGCCCATGCCAGAGAGGATTATAAGGTATAAATATTTTCTATGACCTGTGTGTAGGATTGAATTTCCTTGTTATGTATTACTTTAAATTTGTAGTTTTTTTCTAAGTACAGCCTTCAGTGTTATGATTAGTGTAGTATTTGTTTGGGGTTCCATCTGTTCTGCTTTATCTGTTCTTATCTGTTGTATATAAAATGACCAATATATGCAACACTGGGCAGCAGTCTTGGGAAGAGTTGTTCAATGTGTGCATCTGAATGATTAGAGATCTCTGTAGCTCTCTATAGTAATATAGAGGACTCTATAGTAATATAGTAGAACTGTAGTAATGCATCATGAATGCATAAACAGGACATAAACTTGCATACACAGAATAATTGTCCTATGCAAGGGAAGTTACCTTAAAGCCCTTGTTAAGACTGAGGATTTAAAATTGGACACGGGCAGTGTTAAGATAAAGCTTGCTGTCTCTTCAGAGACACATTGTGTTACAGTTGTAATTGAAGTGCAGCTAATTGTGTGGTTTTAAAGTAATCTGCAGATGTAACTTCTGGCCTAAACTAACCTAATTTTCTTCTTAGTTACGGGTAGATGAGTTTGATTATTCTAAGCCACTCCAAGGCCAACAGCGAAAGCCGTTTGAAGAGCACTGGAGAAAGCACACCCTTTCATACGTGGATATCCCATCTGGGAAGGTACATGATGCTTGAGGCTCTTTTTTGCTGTCAACAGACAGCTGCTCTCATAGACAGCTTTTGAAATCATGATAATACTGTCACAAAACTCATTTTGTTGCTGAACAGTAGGCATACCTGGGAGAAGTTACTGTTGATCTTTTGGAAGTGCTTTACTATTTGAGCTGGGATTGTGTTTCCCCTTGTGTCAGGCTAGTTCAAAAGCTTTTCTCTTCTAATGGTGACAAAACCTGTTGTTGCTGTTTAGCATAATGGCTTTATGGTATTTAAAACATAGAACTGCTTTGTGACCCTACAGAAGTCTTGGCCTTTGGGTTTTTTTTTGTATCTCATGCTCTGAATCCTCTTATTTCTTCTCCAGCCCATTTTACCTTCCTTGAATCTAGTTTGGGGGCAAGTGAGAACACTTTCACTTCCTGAATAGCTGCTGAGAATAGAAAGAAACACAGTTCTGTCTCTTAACTAATCCCACTGCATTCTCATCTCCAGGGCTTTCCTAGATGAAAGAACTAGGAGCTAGCAGTCTTAGCCAGAAGTTTACTTTTGTTCAAAGGCCTTTTTAAAGTCAGTCTTCTGATACTGTTTCTGGTCAGGCTTTGCTTTTAAGGAATTTAGTCAGTGGTAACATAATGGAACTTTTAAAGTTCCTTGTGGGTTACCAACTGTTCATTTTCTATGGAAGGAAAATAACAGAGAAATTAGCTTAACATCCATGAAGTCGTTCTGTTATCTGTGTTATTTGGCCATTCCTGTTAGCTAGGCTGTCTTGTTTAGATGCAGGATGTTTGTTTGTCCTAAATTTGTTTGTTCCCTTTTACTTCAGGTTACCTTGAAATACAGGCCTGTGATCGACAGAACTTTGAACGAGGAAGACTGCCAGACCGTCCCGCCTGCCATCCGCTCCTACTAGTATTGTGCATCTCCCTTGGAGCCCTCTCCCAGAGGGGGCCAGTGTACATAAGCATAGCACAAGCAAAGCAAAACAATGTTATCACTAGCAATGAATGGAAAATGCTGACAAAACATTTCTCCAGCTTGTATTCTGCTGTGGCTTACTGTACAATTATTAAACATGGAATGCAGGACAGCTTATGTTCTTTCACCCATCTGTCAGAACTGACATGGACAACACAAAATGTGTCTAAATAAAGTCATTACAAGTCTTGTATTTGTATTTGTTTGAATATGCTGATATATATATATATAAATACAGTGCTTTTATCATGAATGTATCGTTACTTTCCATGCTTTAAGAACAAGAAAGGTGAGGCCTGGTGACAGCGCAAGGGCCAGTTGGCACAAATGGAAGCAGAGGAAGTTCTGTCTGAATATGAAGACAAACTTCTTTATATGGTGGGTGGCAGAGCGTTGCAACAGGCTGCTCAGAGAGGTTGTGGAGTCTCCTTCTCTTGAGAAGTTAAAAGCCTGCCTGGATGTGATGCTTCAGGTGAACCTGCTTTAGCCTGGAGGTTGGGCTAGATGGCCTCCAGAGGGCCCTTCCACCCTGTGATTCTGTGAAATGCATTGCAGTTGTTTTAGACACAATGGAGATACTGAGTTTTGTGATGTGAGGACTGAAGCATCATAATTTCTGATTATCAGTAACACTGAAGAAAAGAAGAATGATGGACTAGAGACTTCTGCTTACTTCCTCCATAATAGAATAATACAATATTCTATGTAATCTAGACTATAATACTAATAGTTAATCTTCACTGACTCTGGAACTTCTGAAGCCATTTTTGTGGCATGCTCTGGGTGTGTATTTCCTCTTAACACAGAGAAACCAAGGGGCAGAAGACTTGCCTGAATGTTAAAGCTTACCAAACTCAAATTTAATGTGCATTTAATGTGCCAAGATGTAACTTGTAAGGCATTAATAGAGCAGTTTCTAGCAGTGTTTCTGTAATAACTTCCAGTTCTTAGATGACAGAAGTGTAACTATGCAGATTGCATAGACTGAAGCATTTTGAAATGTTTGACCAAAAAAAAAGTTTTTTTTTTACTGCTGAATGTTGGCTGCTGTTGGAGAAAAAAAAAAGAATGTTTGGAAAACCTGAGTGTTGAAATGATGGTGCTGGGGGGAAGAGTTCAATACACCTTATTGCGCTCGTGTAGTGTTTCTGTACTTCGCACCACGGGGAGATGTAGCGTGCCGAAGAACTCCCCTTGCACGGGCAGGAAGGGGAAAGCCTTTTTATAATAGAAGGAGCCTTGTCTGTCGCCGGGGGAGGGGAAAGAAGGTTCCATCGTCTTTGGCAAGGTTACAGTAAGGCAGGACAACCTCATACTTTTTCTTCCAGCGTGGGAAAATCGCTTGTTCGGCGCCTCCCCTGCTGCCCTTGGCCGGGGCCGCGCTGGGCCCCCGCCGCCTCTCGGGCATCCCGGTGCTAGCCCAGCCCGGCCCGGCCCGTCCCCCCCGCGGCCGCGATGGGCGCGGCGGAGCCTCGGCGGGGGTGGGCGCCCCGGCACCGTGACGCTCGTCCGGGGCGGTGCCGCCTCGCCTCCCACCCCCGCGGTTCTCCCGGCCCCCCGCCACCATGCACCGCTCACTCCGCGCCTGCCGCCGCCTCGGCAGCTCCGCTGGACTCCTGCTCTCCCGGCCGCCGCCCTCGCTGGATCCCGCCGCGCCTCGCTGGATCCCGCCGCCCCGCGCCGCCATGGTGAGCCCGGGTGGGGAGCGGGCAGCGGTGACCTCTAAGTGCCACCGCCGGCCGCCGCCGCCCTCGCTCCGCCCCCGCCCCGGGGGGAGCGGGCAGCGGGCGCTGCCCGAGGGAGCGGCGGCTGCCGGCAGGGCCGGGCACGGGCGCTTTAATCCGGGTTTTGCTCCGTCGGGGGCGCGCCGGCAGCCGGAGGACGTGGCCGCCGTTCCCTGCCCGGCTCGCGCGGCCGTTTCCCGCATCCTTCCTGCGGCCGCGCCGGGCCTGGCTCGGCCCCGCTGACGGCCCCGGATCTGCGGCCCCGAGCGGCGGCTGCTCCCGGGGCGGGCCGGGATGTGCAGCCATCCGGGCGATGAGACTGACGCCGTGAGCGCGGCCCTGAGCCGCCTTGATGTGGCCGGGGAGGGGAGGCAGGTAGGAAAGGCGCAGGACCTTAAGGTCTGCTGTGCGGCAGCTGCTCCCTCAGGAATTTAAGACCCTTTCTTAGAGCTGTTGAGCTACAAATAAGGAAAAGCTGCGTCCTCACAGGAGTGGGGATATCCAGAATATCTTCGAGGCTGTCTGAAAACTACGGAGCTTTTAGCTGAGAGAGCAGGCTGTGGCCTCCAGCAGGCATCCGCAGTACTTGTTCAAGTAGACACTTTTGGGCTCAGACGTGAGTGGGACTTGATTATTGCACACAGTTCAACATAGAAACAAAACTGCTATTCGAATAAGGAACTTCAAACCTCGGTAATAACACCTAGGATGTTGCATGGAAGCCTTAGCCACAGGCGCATCTCTGAGCTCACTCCTTAAAACGGGGTAATTTAAACTGTCAGAAGAATTCCGGCAGAAAGTGGGGTGTTCAGGAGTTTATCAATTCCTTAGTTTACCACGTTAGTTAGTAAATTGAACGAGAACATTGGTTTCCAGTCTGTGATATTGATTAGTGTGTAGAAAATAGCATTTAAAAGAACAAGTTTTCCAACAAGTGAATAAACTTCATGGTGGATGAAACTTACCTGCATAATAAAACTGGTGTCAAAGCAGACTGTGTAGCTCAAACCTTTGGCCTGTGAGATGGTTCTCTTTTTTATGTTTCCATTTGGTGTCATCTGAGAAAAACATTCTAGATCATGGCCTTCATTTACTTGCTGAAGACTCAGTCTAGGTGAAAGGCTGCAATCTTACAAGAAAGGTAAGACCTGCTCTTTGCAGGTCAGAAGTATGACCTGTCCTGTATGCACTGTTAGTTGCTTGGGTTTAAATAACAGCAGTAGTCATAACAAAATATCCCTCAGTGGATTTGTAACTCGGACAGCTGTTGAATTCTCATAGGAAAAGTTCTGTGTGTTTTTATTTAAAAGAGGTCCACCAAAAGATGTACCAACTAGTATTTTAATTAAAATAAACAAAACAAACCATCACTTTTTTATGTCTGTAGATATTTTTTCACTAACAAGAGTTGTTCTAAAACACATTGTGTAGCTACAATCAAATAAATGTTCATGCTGTCCTATGGTGTGACTTCACTTAGAACTAAATTGCACAGGATGTTTTAAATGGGGGGATGCTAAAGGGGAGCAATTGAGCACATATTACATTTTCTGATGGCCTCAGAAAGTGCTTTGACAGGCTAAAAATGATGATTTTTTGAATTGAAATACTTATATCTGAAAGTTGCTGCATTTGTAAATCATAATATAATTTTCCATGGAAAGCGATATTGCAGCAGTTCTGATATTTGAGTATCTCCAGCGCGTTATGGTGCAATCAGTTCTAGCTGATTAGCTCCTTACAACAAGGCAAAAGTACAGTTCTGTTTGCCTAATTTGGTAAGCTTTGGACTGTGGGTTCTCGGGATTTTGGAGAGAAGAGCTTGCCTTGTTAGGCCTTTCTAAGGAATTAAAAAAAAATCTGTAAAGGTGAGAAGGTGAGGAATAGTAGCTCTGAGCAGAGGCTTGTAGCTGTGATAGAAACTAGGTGAGCACAGGAGTTTGCCTTGGCTTGTGGTGGATTTGGTAGGTCTCCTTTTAGCTACTCCTATAGCCCAGGGGATCGGGGAATAGAGGGTTGACAAGAGTGTGGTAGTGATGCATCATTTTATAGCCGATCCTGTAGGTCAGGGAGTGGCTGCAGAAACTGCTTTACATACAGGAACTGGGACCTTCCGCTCATAAAACCACTCAAGAAGGTGAATTCTGGCTGAGGAGTGGGGGAAGCATGTTTGTTACATTCAAGTTCAGACAAGGCTTCTTCAGGGCGCTCCATCAGTGTGAAGGTAATGCTACAGTTTAGTTACTTCAGTATGTGTGAAAAATACCACTTTGCTTTTTTAGCTAATGTCACTTCTTACTCTGTGAGTCAGCAAATTACATTCATCTTAAAACACCTTACCCTGTTAACTTCATTGGAGTTTGTGAATGTGCAATGTGGAACTGGCTAGGGAAGTAATTTTTTTTTGATAATGATTTTGTTGTTAGAAAGTACTTGTACGAGTGTGCACTAATCCTATTTATCTTTGTTCCACCATTGTTGACATTGGGATTATGTAAGTTTGAGGCATCAGTTGTGCAACTGCTAGCTTTTTTGTCTAAAAGGTCACAGGTAGTTTAACTTTTTTATATCGTTTGAGCATGGAAACTTTTGGGGATTGAACCACTGATCATATCAAGAGCTGGGCTTGGAACTGAATTGGTTCTGCCTATCTGGCTCTGTGAAAACTTGACATTGTCTGCTTATACGAGGCACCCAAATACCTAAAGCAGGGATTTCCCAACTTTGTTGGAATATTAATATGTGCACATGTTCAGTAAGACCCACAAGCATCCCTATTAAACATTTTTGGTAGTAAGATACCAAAGAAGCGTTTACTATGTTGTGTTTCTTGTTAGCATATGAATGCTAAGTGACTCAAATAGGATAAAGAAGATTAAAGGACATAGGAATGATGTACTGTTCCACACTAGTCTTTCTGTTCTTGTGAAGTCAGTGTCTGGGAGAGTATCAGCCAAAGCAGAAGATACAGGGAGCGGACAGCAATGTGAGAGCTAACCCTTTCTGGGGGGCTGCAGTTTTGTCTGGGTCACGTGCACCATCTACTCCGCAAGTACTCAAAGTGAGCAGGGCTGGTGTCTCTGCTGTGGGACTGATGGAATACGTGATGGCAGAGTGTCTCCATCTGGCTGGGAATTATGCTTAGGACAGCAAAAAGGCTGGGATACTCCCCTCTCCCCGCCTGCCATCCGTGGTGATGCAAACCTGGGCAAGCTGCTGCAGAAGGTCAGGGCTGCTGGAAAGTGTTCTGGCCAGTACCCAGCTGCACTCCTGTCCGAGAAGACTGAGACTCACCTGACAAGGAGTGAGTAAAATGAACCAAGAAGAGAAGGAACAGTCTGACTTCAGAAGTGGATTCCTGGGGAAGAATAAGAACTGTGCAAACAGTCTGACTTCAGAAGTGGATTCCTGGGGAAGAATAAGAACTGTGCAAACATATACGATGCTTTCCCCATATTCTGACCCAAACTCTTCATGTACTTGGCACTGGTGAGGCCATACCTCAAGTACTGTGTCTAGTTCAGGAGCCCTCACTACAAGAAGGGCACTGAGGTGCTGGAGTGAGCCCAGAGAAGGATGATGGAGCTGGAGAAGGATCTGGAGCACAAGTCTTATGAGGAGCAGCTGAGGGAGCTGGGGTTGTTTAGCCTGCAGAAGAGGAGGCTCAGGGGAGACCTTACTGCTCTCTGCAACTGCCTGAAAGGGACACTGTAGCAAGGTAAGGATCAGACACTTCTCCCAGGCAGCCAGCGACAGGATGAGAGGACATGGCCTCAAGCTGCACTAGGGGAGGTTCAAGTCGGACATCTGGAAGAATTTCTTCCCTGAAAGGATTGTCAAACATTGGAATGGGCTGTCCAGGAAAGTGGTGACTTTCTTGTTCTGCAGCATCAGCTGGCAAGGAATTTCATCAGTCTGTGACTTGTGTGAGGAGCTGCTCCCTTTCCCTTGCTTTGAACCTCACTCCTATTAGCGTAATGTTATGGTTCCTGTTTCTTGTACTGGAAGAGACTGTGAACACCTACTGATGGTTTTATTGGCCTCAGCTTTCCTTCAATGCCCAAGCTATCTCTTTTCTGAACAAAAAAGCCACTTGTCTTAAGAAAGGTGTTCCCTACCTTTTATCCCTGCCTTTGAACTGTTTTTGGTAATATGCTTTTTGGGGATGAACGAACCAAATCTGCACAAAGACCTTGGACCACGCATGAATCATGATGGCCCAGCAACGTTTCTTTTTGTATCTTTTGCTTTTCCCAATAGTTCCTTGTGTTTGGTTTTCTCGTTTGACTGCACTGCAACACTGACTTGACTGTATTGATAGAGCTTTTCCAAGGGCTCACCCCTAAGGGTTGTGGTTAGGTCAGGACCTGGCATTGTGTACGTATTTATGCTACCTATGGGACTAGGATTGTTTTACTCTATCCATGATAAAGAACTGGAAATTACTTCTCCCCTTTCCTTAAGACTCTGCAAGAAGATAACCTCCTCCTCTGGGGAAGGATGAGTACCTTTCCCACAGAAAACTGGGATTTAGCTGACCAAGGTTTGGGGAGAGGAAGAATAAACTGCTCTTGCTTCCTGTTCCAGTTCCATAATCTTTATAGAGCTGCACGTGAATGCGATTACATCATCACAAATGAATGTTGTTGTTCTACAAAAAGTGAAGAATAACTTTTTTTGGTGTATGTCAGCTAAAATTAATTTGCCTGTGGCTGTGTTAGTATAATAGTATATAGAAAGTAACACATGCAAGATGTATACGTGATGCAGAAATACTCCCATATGTAAATAGTACACAACATATACCTAGATGCAGCTCCTTTGTGTTGCACAGCTAGGGCAACTGTGTTTCTGGTTTATTAGGCCAAAGGGAATAATTAATGGTCAGTAACTTGGTCCTGGATTAGTCAGTTGCTCCCTTCCAGTATTAAGTGTCATGTGGGGTCTGGGTTTCAAATAGGAGTTGTGTTACATTTATGTTGGTTGGGCAGATGTTACCTGAATTCTTACTGTGCTAGTTGTCAGTTTGGTTTTTACTAAACACCAGTACTGTGAATTGTAAGCTAAGGTACTAATTCTTAGAAAAGAAGAAGCAGTCTCTCATCAGGATGACAGTGGGCAGCCAAGGTCTTAGGTCTTGCAGTGCTGCCTGACACCAGTGGGACAGCTGGGCTTCACAGTGGTAGTAATCATGACTTTCAGTGAGGCAGGTGCTCAAACTAGAAAAATATCCTAATTTCAAAGGTATAAAACTACCTACGACTAGCTGCATGTCTTTGCTTTGTGTTTTTTCCCCCTTGAGTCTTTTTTTTCTTGACTGCTTGCTGTGAAAATGGATGTGCCATTTACCAGTGTTTGAATTTTTTTTGTTTTGTTTTTCTACAGTCCACTCAAGAGGCTTTTAGGATAGAATATGATACCTTTGGTGAACTCAAGGTCCCAAGTGACAAATACTATGGTGCCCAAACTGTAAGATCGACAATGAACTTCAAGATCGGAGGTGTTTCAGAAAGGATGCCAGTAAGTATTATTTATTAATTGATATTAATTATCTGTGTTAATTTCTTTCTTAAGTGCGTTTTGGATGTGAAAATTAATAACTTTTTCTTAGACTTCTGCTGGAAGTGTGAGCAACTTCTGCTGGAAGTGTGAGCAACTTTGAGTTTTAATTAAAGGTAGAAATTCCATAGCAATATATTATTCTGTGGTAGAAATCCTTTTTTTTGTTGCACTGAAATAAATTGAATATTGCTTTTGAATAATTTTTATTGTGTTGCTTAATTTTTTAATAACCAGGATAAATAGAAATCTGTCATTTTTTCAGAGATGAAAGAGTGAATGGAATAATTTTTTTGCTGTGGCTTTTATATAGGTTTTTATTGAGGTTGTTTAGCATAGCATGAATTGATATAAAGTTGCTTTCTCACATGTAGCTGTGCATAGAGCATTAGTGTGCACGTCGTTTGTTATATACTGATTTTCCACGTGCTGAAACATATGTCAGTTTTCCCTCAAAAGGCTATTTTAGAAATGGATCCAGTTCAGTTTTAAGGCATGTGATTTTTGATGCACAGAGCATACATGGACTGGCAGAGAAAGCTGTGTACTGCTCTCTGGACTGCATGGATGAATGTTACTGTTAATGGGAGCACTGGCCACAGGACCCCATTGCTCTATGGTTTGTTCAGTGAACTGCTGCTGGATTTATGATCAGAAGGAGTTTGGTTTAGAACTAGACATGCGCTATAAATTCCTAACATGTCCTTTGGGGGAAGAAAATTGTGTATTTAAACTTACCCTTGTGTCTCAGGTTCAAGTCATAAGGGCTTTTGGCATCTTGAAGAGAGCAGCTGCTGAAGTAAATCAAGATTATGGTCTTGACCCAAAGATTGCTAAAGCTATTGTACAGGCGGCAAATGAGGTAGGAACAAACTGTTCAAATACTAGAAGTGCCATTGTATGTTTGTTACGCTTTTCACAGGAGCCTGAGGGATTGCTAGAGGAAAGCATTTCTTACTAGTGAATTTTGTTTTTGAGAAATCATTTACTTTGTATAATAATTTTACTATTTTACGTCTTGTATTTAAAGAAATTATGTAATATTCAAATGCATGTTGATACTTAAGTTATAAAAGCAATGTGATTTTTTCCCCCTCTATTAAGAATAATTATTACTTGCATAGTGTTGAGTCTTACCAGATGAACTATATAAAAGAACCTAGGAGGGGAATAGAGTCTCAGTTCATTCAACTAACCTGAAGTCTGATATGCCAAGCAAAGCTTTTTAGTTTTGGAAGTCGCTAATCTGTAAAGCAATTGGATTTTGGTAATCTGAAGACCATCTGCAGTTTGAGTAGTTTCTCTGTTACTCGTCTATTTCCTCTCCAGATTTAGGCTTACTGGTAAATCTGTGCTTTGTAAGTATCAGTTTTATTGCTCAAGAGGACATGATGAGATAAACAGGCAATTTCCTCTTTCTTAGGATAAATGTCACCCAAGTGCAGAGTTGTAAATGACCATTATATGAGGTGTGGTAATGGAAGGTGTGTTGATTTGTATAATAACCCAGTATAAATAAATAATCCCAGATTTGTATAAGTCAACATATATGTTTATCTAGAAGCATTTGTTAACAGAGTTTTCTTGTTCTAACTTGCTTAAAAATATTTCAATATTTGCAGAAGCCTCATCCTCTTTCTACCAGCTGTAGCAGCCTAAGTCCCAAGAGCCAATAGCTTTGGGGAATTTCAGAATATATCCAGGCTCTTTCTGTTGTTTCTAGGGTTCCCCTAGGTAAAGGTGGATTAGAAGTTCTGGTGGCTAAAGGCTACTTAGTTTAGATTCATAAGTCCTGAAAGTTGTTTGGGTTTTTTTTTTTGTTGTTGTATTTTAAAAACAAACAAACATCCTTGTAATGATATCCTTTCCCTTACCTACAAAGTAATTTTCTAATACAACTTAAAAGAAAAAGATACATCAAAGAATCAAGTTACTCCTGGAGGTGGGAACCTTGCCCCTGTATAAGATGGGGAATACATAAGATCCTTTCCTGAAAAACATGTTTCCAGGAGGACTGATGTATTCTGATAACCATCCCAATGGTTATCTAGGCTCAGAGTTGTGACAACAGATCCTTTGTTTATCTGAGGCTAATATGTATGGGTTTGATACTTCTGAGCACAGATTTTGATGCTATCACAAACACATGTTTAGAAAACTCTCTAAATGTGTATAAGATTCAATAGACTCCAAAAAATGTTGATCAAAGAGGAGCGCACCTTAGAGGAAGAAGGTGTTTGGTACTATCAGCCATATGCTGTCTTTGTGGATGCAAAATATTATGTCTACAGGTGTAGGAGGTCTGGAACTTCCTTTATGAAATTTCTTTTTTGTGAAATATCACAGTCCAGTTACACAGATTTCATGTACTGCATGTGGATGGCTGATGGTCTTTGGCAAAAATACCTTTTCTGGGGGACTATTTCCCAAAGGAACGGACTTCTCAGTGCCTCTGATTCAAGGTGTTGTATAGTTGTGATCAGTGTACATGATGAAATTGTACAGCTGTTGATCTTGATCTCCTAGAAGAAAGCAGCACATCTATGGTAAGAAGTTTGGGAACAGATAAGCCTTGTCAAAGTGGTCAAAACCGAAGGAGACTCACAACACTGAATCTGTACCCTGAAGCACCTTATGTGCTCTGATTGAGAAACTTTTTAAGATATTTCTCTTCCCTTAGAAATCTTCCTAACCTGAGCAAATAACTGTGGAAGGAAGAACCAGCATGTACTACCTCTAGTCCTACCCTGGAGGATTAGAATTCAAATGGCTTTAAAATGGGGTAAAGTGGGTGATGTGTTTGACTTGTAAAATCAGCTGCATTGTTTGGGAAAGAGAAGATATAATTCAAAATACCTTTTAAAAATCTTTTCTATCTATGACTGCAGAACATGAAATCAAATTCTATGTATCTTTGTGTTTCACAATTCATCATCTTCAAAAAGATACCAATTTTTTTTCATTTTTAATGTCTGGTACTACATCAGAAACTCTTAATTATTCTTGTGTGAATTCACAATTGTTATATTTAGATTTAAAAATACAATAGAGAAAATAATTTTAATTATAGCTATAAAATATTAAGGTTTATGCTTTTACTCTTTTTTTCTCATAGAATAACTTTTCTCTCTTTTTCTATTATAGGTAGCTGAAGGAAAATTAAATGATCACTTCCCATTAGTGGTGTGGCAGACTGGGTCTGGAACTCAAACCAACATGAATGTCAACGAAGTCATCAGCAATAGAGCCATTGAGATAATGGGGGGCACCCTGGGGAGCAAAAAGCCAGTACATCCAAATGACCATGTTAACAAAAGCCAGGTTGTTATGCTTGTATTATACTTCTTTGAATTTCAGAAGTTTCGGGGTTTTGAATTGTGAATTTTGAGATCTCTTATATCCACTGTTTAAATTAAAAAAAAACAAAAACAACAAGTAGTTTTGGGCACAGCTTTGGCAATAATTTTCCATTTTTTTCAGTTTAAATGAACTTTAAGATGTTTGTTAGTGACAGAATGAGCTGTTCAAATTAAAAACTTTGAATTCATTCATGACAGATAAATTCACACATAAAGTATGGGCAGAGGTGGCCTTATGACAATGACTATTACTGCAGTCTTAAAAGAAGTTAAATATAGATCCAGTTTCTAAATGTTGGATCATGGCAGACATTTTTATTATACTTCACCTTTAAACTTCAGCTGATCTGAACGATATACTAAGCTACTGACTTGGTTGTTTCCCTTCCTGATCTTTTGTGCTTACTCAGTATCCAGTGAACTATGCAGTTAACATTATCAAAGCAACACATAGGTGTTTTAAAGTCATCTACAATTCCTTTAAAATCATCCATTTTACCTATCTCTCATATCTGCTATAGTAATTTTTGTCCAAGTGTTGTTGTGAACAATCTATTCAGTTAAACTTTCTTAAGGTATAGTTATAAAAAGCTGATTTATCAGTAAGACTCTGGCCTTGTGGAACAGTCCTAAGTTGCTTACTCTTAGTTTAGCTTCTAATTATTTGTAAAATAAAGAGAATAAAGCCATATATGCACATCTTGCAGCAACAGTGGTGAGAAAAGCTTGTAAATAAACTTCTTGAACTTTCTTCACAGAGTTCCAATGACACTTTCCCAACAGCAATGCATATTGCTGCTGCCCAGGAGGTTAATGAGGTGTTGTTACCTGGACTGAAGAAGCTACAGAATGCACTTGAAGGAAAATCCAAAGAGTTTTCCCAAATCATAAAAATAGGGCGCACTCACACGCAAGATGCTGTTCCACTTACACTTGGACAGGTAAAAAAAAATAAAATTAAACATTTCTTTGGACAATTCATGTAAATGTACTGGAGGACATTGAGGCAAACTTGAGAACGCCTGAATTAAGTTGATAGTTTAAGAGTTTGCTGGATATGCTGTACTCTTAATAACTGGGTCATACATTTTCTTAACTTTTTGCATCTGTGTTTTACTTCTAGCAGTATTAAGATATAAATGATTGTTAAATGATGTTTCATTAGCAAATAACACAAGGCGATTTTTCAGTTACGCTGGCATTGCAAGGAAGAGGCAATTGCAGTCTGTGATCTGTAAACTTATGTAAATGAGGCTTTGCCAACACACAAAACTACTAGGTATTTCGAATGAAAATCTTTTATATATGATCGTGTGTGTGTGTGTATATTAATATAAAAGATGGCAGATCTTATAATATTGTCAAGAATGGCTTATATTACAGTAATTTGGTAATGAATTTGAAGTGAATTGATAAACATCCAGGTAAAGGTTGTGGATTTTTTCTAAGAATGCACAGGTGGGTTTTATTAAACTAAAGTCAAGTGAACAAAGCCCAAGATCCATTTCTTTATTTGTACTTGGAGAACATTAGTTCAATTTTGGAGCTGTTTTAATGTGGATTCAGATCTTACTAAGTACTCACCTGAGATAAAAGGCATTATGTACAATTTTATATATTCAGATTGGTTTTATGTATAGTTTGTTTTGTGGGAACAGTCTTCTAATATTTCCATACTTTTACTGACAACATGCTAAGATGTAGCATTTGTGTAAAATTCTGTGCTTGCATGTTTTTTAAAAATTAGTCAAATCATGTTAAAAACCTAAATGATTCTAGGTGTTTATTCTTGGTTACTGTCATTGTTCCTTTATCTTGTCCTCCTTTCTTTCAAAGGAATTTAGTGGTTATGTGCAACAAATTAAATATGGTGTGGCTAGGATTGAATCAACCATGCCCAGAGTATATCAGCTGGCAGCTGGCGGCACTGCAGTTGGCACAGGATTAAACACAAGAATTGGCTTTGCTGAGAAAGTTGCTGCTAAAGTGGCTGAACTGACAGGTGAGGAATGATATTTTGGAGTTACCAGTAAAGTGGTATGCCTAACACACAGTCAAATTCAAACTAAATCTTTCTGTTTCCATACCTCTAATAAGCTCAAATTGTATTTATATTTTAACGTGACACTTTTTGTTAATGCCATGTGTTATATGCCTTCTACCTCAGACTTTTCTTGCAGTATATTTTTGTAATTATACTCAGTGCATTGAAAGTGACTGAAATTATGGTGTTTTTCTGAGCAAGGCTCATTGAATATGGATACAGTTTCAGACTTCTATTATTAGCCCAACTATAATACTTCTGTCTTGATCTTTGCTCCTCTGGCTCTCTTAATTTACAGTGACTCGGCACAAAAGAAGGGAAAAAACGCTCCCAAAGCCTCTCTGTTTTTTTCGTGTGAAAGAGTAAAGGTTGGCTGTCTAATTCTTTCAATGCTGTCTTGATAGATCTTAAAACTTAATTTACAATGATACTGAGTTTTTTGATCTGTAAACCAGATCTTGTGTCACAATATCAGTTTTTAAAATGCCCCCAAAACGAACATGCACATCTATCTGCACATCTACACATTTGCTGTAAAATCTGTCATTGCTTATCAACAGTATTTTTGGTTTTAATTATTCACTGTCTTGCAGAGGGTCAATACTTTCTTGTGCCCTAAGAGGGAAGAAGTAACCTCTTGTAAACAACAGCTGCTAGGAGCAGTGCAGGGCATGTTTTGGTGGTGTTACGAAGCTCTCCCATTTCTGCGCTCTTTAGGTGCCCTAATTGCAGGTTGTACGAGTTGAAAACAAGTAGGGCTGACTCCTGAAGTTCCACACGTTCTTATAGAGGATGTTTATTGGCCAGGACAAGAGGAAAAGTTTGGGTGGATCTCTGCAACTGAGAATGCAGCTGTGCAATTCAGAAGCTCATGCAGATTGGGTGGGATTTGGTGTTTGTCAGGAGCTGCCAAACACAAGAAATTAGGGAGGTTATGCTGCTCTTCTTTGAATGGGTGATGAAAGCTCAGATCAGTAGTTCTGTGGGGCAGAAGTCCAGCCCACAGTCAGTCCTTAGTGATATCTGTTTCCAGTAATAGTGTTCTGCTCGACTTTCCTTCCAGGGCAAAGTCCTGAAGAAACGTTTTTCATTACGGAACCTAGGCTTAAATCTTCAGGCATTTAATTAACATAAACAGAGCTGTTACTTTCATCGCTGCTTTGCTTTTGCTGTTGGCAGGCATCCTCCTAAGTCTGAATCGGCTTTCAGATATTCTGAGTGGTGTATTGTTCCCTTCCAGTGCTGGTACTCAGGTGCATCTTTTTCCTTTAAGTAGCTAATTCCATTGTGATTACTTGTTATTCACCTTAATGCCTGCACTGTGCTGCAAAAACATCTATTTTTATAAATGAGAGAATGCATCAAAGCAATTCTCTCAGCAAATCTAAATTATCTAACTTGATTTAATGGAAGAAATATGTAAGTTTGGGCTAAAGTTTGAAAGATTTTTGACATTCATAAAATACTGTGGTGCCAAAGCAATAGAACACAGAATGAAAGATTGACATTTGTGCCTTTGTTGTTGGTAGGTGCTAAAATTTCATATTCTTCTGTATGTTAAGGACTTTTATTGTGTCTTTCATATTGACTTTAATTTGTTTAAGAACTATGTTTGTGAAGTAAGCTGTAGAGAAGTGATGTTACAGTGTTACTAATTTTTATTTTTTATTAAGCTAATCATGTGTTTGATTATGTGGTTTATAATGTCTGCACGGAAGTGCCTCATGCGGTTAATACTTCCCCCTCCTCCGTGCAGGTTTGCCTTTTGTCACTGCTCCAAATAAGTTTGAAGCTCTTGCAGCCCACGATGCTCTAGTTGAACTCAGTGGAGCCATGAACACGGTGGCGTGTAGTCTGATGAAAATAGCTAATGATATTCGTTTCCTGGGCTCTGGACCGCGCTCTGGACTAGGAGAACTCATCCTGCCTGAAAACGAACCAGGAAGCAGCATCATGCCAGGTATGGAGAAAACAGAGAGAACAATTGCCTGTTTCTTTTGTTTTGGACCACTGTCTCTTAAACGTTTACCAAACACCATCTTGATGATCCTGATGGGTCACTTCCTACTCAGCATATCCTATGATTCTGTGATCACAAATGTCAGTAAGGCCATGATTCAGTCCTTCTGCCAGTTCTTATCTATTATACCAGAATTTGCATTTATAAAAATACCTGCTAGCACAGCTGTATGTTGGTAAGTAAAGTTATATAATCTCTTGACTGTAAAGAACTCTGGTAATGAACGGCTGCTTAGCTCAAGCACATTTGTCAAGCTCTTGAAGTGCTGGTAGATTGCTAAAGCAGCCAAAGCTGTTTTAAAAATCCTAGCTGAAATACTAGAATAGCACAGTCAGTATAATTTATGGAAATACTTTTTCTTCTGTGGTGCACATGATACAGGCGATTAAGACTTGTTACCTCTTAAAAATCATTTTCTACTTAATGTGATTTGGTAGATGAGGAAATCATTTGTTTCTGCCTGGTGATGGTTGGTTGGTTGGTTTGTTTTTCTCCTTCCTTCTTTGGTAACATTTTTCTCTCCCTTTCATAACCAGGAAAAGTGAACCCTACCCAGTGTGAAGCTGTAACCATGGTGGCAGCCCAAGTTATGGGAAACCATGTTGCCGTTACTGTAGGAGGAAGCAATGGACACTTTGAACTGAATGTCTTTAAGCCCATGATGGTAAGTTCATAAAGTTTTAAACATCTAGGACTTTTTCAGTAATTGTTTATATAGTCAGATAATTCATGGGCAGAAAACCCCTCAGTGAATAATTGGTCAATACAAGCACCAGAGAAGCTAATAAATTGTGAAAACAAATTTTATTCTTTTGTGTGGTAAGCCCTTGTTATTTTGACAGGGGAGCTGAGAATCTTTTCAACGTGAAACTATCTTATGCAGATAAGCTTCTACCTTAACAATGTATGTGTATCATCAGCCTAAGGAAGTAGGCAGAGACTCAAAACAAGGCAAGATTTTTGTACAAAGCCAAAGCGAATTTGGTATTTTAGCTAAAAACAAGGATTTTTTTTTTTGTTCAGCAGCTATCTGTTACTTATTTCTGCTACTGCTGAATATCAAAGGTTTACATGCTTTTGGCAAGTGAGGCATGTAAAATTGTAAATGATTAGTCTTAGACTTCAGTGTTTAAATTAATGTCTGCCTTCTACAGTGTGAGCAGGATATACCAAGATACATGCTGCTGCATAGAGGCATATGCTGCTGCATAGAATGGCATAGAGGTTAAGGTAGGGGTGATAGTTTTAGAAGGATTAAGGTGACTTTCAGAAAAGATACTAAATAGAAATAAAAAGAAAGCTTTTGAAGTTTTGTTGTCTTGTCAAAAATAAGAGGCACTCTGTTCCAGTGTCTCATCACCTTCACATAAAGAATTTCTTCCTAATATCTAGCATAAATTTCCCCTCTTTCAGTTTGTAACCATTATTTCTTCTCCTGTCACTACAATTCCTGATGAAGAGTCCCTCTCTGGCTTTCCTGTAGACCACCTTCAGATACTGGAAGGAAAATAGCCTGTTAAATGATTTGATATTGAAAGGGGTTATAAACAAATGTGCCAGAATGTGCAACTAGTAATATCTGAATAAAGTAATTGGTATTTCTTTCTTTGTCTTGTTAGATTAAAAATGTTTTAAACTCTGCAAGACTTCTTGGAGATGTGTGTGTTTCTTTCACTGACAACTGTGTAGTAGGAATTCAAGCCAATACCGAGAGGATCAACAAACTGATGAATGAATCTTTGATGTTGGTTACAGCACTGAACCCACATATAGGTAGGTTTAAAGCTCAGAAAGGTCTCAAAAAATTATACTGAAATATTTTCTGGCAACGTTTTTTTTCACATGCTACTTGTATTGTCACAATGTTTAGGAGACCAAGTCATGGCTCAGGTCAAAAGTTAATTTACTTCAACATCACCAATTGCTGTTACTGTTGCAGACATGTCCTGCTTGCAGTGGCCATACCAGTACATTAGAAAAATAATTCTGATTAGAATCAGAAAGGGGATAGGGAGAATTTGTGAACCTTTTCCTGAACTGACCACTAATAATGATAAGTGAAAGATTACAATATGAGATTATTTTTTTTTTTAAAGGAGAAGGTTCCATAAATCTTTGATCTAAGTGAATTAAGACCACGATAACAGAATTTACCTGCACTTTAAATAAGGAGTTTGTGTAAACATTTGGTGTGCATTTACTGCAAATTGAGTTAAATAGTAATACCATTGCCTGGCAAATAATTCTCCAAAGACCAAGTGTCCCACTTTTCTCTCACCCTTAGCGAATCATTGAAATTGCACATGTCTAACTTGTTGCCTTTGTTTTGTTACAGGATATGATAAAGCAGCTAAGATTGCCAAAACTGCGCACAAAGAGGGGACAACATTAAAAGAAGCTGCTATAAAGCTGGGGTTCCTTACGTCAGACCAGTTTGACCAGTGGGTGAAGCCTAAAGATATGTTAGGTCCTCAGTAACTCCTGTACAAAATAAAAAAAGTGTTCTTAATATTAAAAAAATAAATATGATATCACAGAATCACAGAATTAATTAGGTTGGAAAATACCTCTGAGATCATCAAGTCCAACCTATGACCCAAACACCACCCTGTGAACTAGACCATGGCACCAAGTGCCACATCCAGTTGTTTCTTAAACAGTGACTTGACCATCTCCCTGGGCTGTCCGTTCCCATGTCTAATCATGCTTTCAGTGAAGAAATTCTTCCTGATGTCCACCCTAAACCACCCCTGGTGCAGCTTAAGACTATGTCCGGTTGTCCTGTCACTCGTTGCCTGGGAGAGTAACCTCCACCTGGCTACAACCTCCTTTAAGGTGGTTGTAGAGAGTGACAAGGTCTCCCCTGAGCCTTCTCTTCTCCAGCTTAAACACCCCCAACTCCCTCAGCTGCTCCTCATAGGACACGCACTCCAGATCCTTCATCAGCTCTGTTGCCCTTCTCTGGACCTGCTCCAGCACCTCAGTGTCCTTCCTAAACTGAGGGGGCCCAGAACTGGACACAGAACTTGACGCGTGGCCTCACCAGCGCTGAGTACAGGGGGACAGTCGCTTTTGTGATAACGCTTTTGTTTCACGTTTTCACGGCGTTCGTAGCAGATCAGATCAACCGAGCCTAGCGGGATGATTCTGCGCCTCGAACAGGCGGTGCAAGCCCAGCAGGGAGAAAAGCGTTTCCGTGTGCGGAACAGCCCCGATGGCCGTGGCCACCCGCTGCCAGCCGGCGGAGCGGGGCGGGGCGGGCACTCAGGGAGGCGCCGCCGGGAGAGCGCTTCTTGCTTCCCACGGCCCTTCCTGCTTCCCGCGGCCCTTCCTGCTTCCCGCGGCCCTTCCTGCTTCCCACGGCCCTTCCTGCTTCCCGCAGCCCTTCCTGCTTCCCGCGGCCCTCCCTCCGCGGGGCGGGGCCGGCTGGGGGGTTCCGGGTCGGCGGGGAGCGAGGCCGGCACCGGGAGCGACTCCGAGGCACCGCTGCCATGAACCGCTTCTTCGGCAAGGCGAAGCCGAAGGCGCCCCCGCCCAGCCTCACCGACTGCATCGGGACGGTGAGTGCCCGCCCCGGGCCGCCCGCCGGGGGCCGGGGCCGGCCTGGGCGCTGCGCGGCCCGGCCGCCGCCTCGGGAGGGGCAGGAGCGGCGGGGGGCCGTGTGACGGCTCCTGTGCACAGCCGTGGGTCTGTGTGTGTGGGGACACGGCTGGCGTGGGCACTGTGTGTGTGTCCCTGGGTAATGTATGTGTGTCACAGAACCGCAGAATGGCGCGGGTTGGAAGGGACCTTGAAGATCATCCAGTTCCAGCCCCCCCGCCGTAGGTAGGGACACCTTCAGCTAAAGGCTCGGAGCGTCGTCCAGCCTGGCCTTGAACACTCTTTCAGTGGGCACAAATACGTGGCTGCGTTTTGGTGCAACGCGTTTGTACATATATATGTGTGTGTATATATATATATACACGCACACATGTATTTTAGTGTGAACCTGTGCAAGAGCCTGCCTGTACACTGGCGTGTACCTTTGTATGCATCTACACCTGTGCCTGTGTTCGTGTCCTGTCCGTAGAAGCACGTCCCATAAGCGGTGGCACACAATGTGCACGTAAGGCATGGCTCTCCTTACATCCTCGTGGATATTTTCAGTATTGCCATCTGAGGGCTTCACTGCTCTGATTCCACCAGATAACTCCTGCCATGCCAAGTTCTGGCAAGGCAGGGGCAGGAGTAAGAAAACCAGTCTCTCTGTCCAGTACAGAAGGTGGGAGGATAATCCCCTCTTGTGATGAATTCTTTGGATGAAGAGTGTTCTGACTCTTTTGGGCAAGTAGGGTTGTCACCAAAGGTGTGTGCAGATGGACAGATAAACAAGGTCAAGATAACCAAGTAAGAAATGGTGAGGAAACACACGGCAGAACACTTTACAACTGTTGTAATCTTGGCCTGCTGAAAAGAGGATTAAGGAAGAGTTTTAAGATTTGTCTTGTAATTTCATAGTCTTTTTTTGACTTTATAAAGTTTTTGAAGAAAACCGTAGGATGTTTTTGCAGCTCCTTCTGTTGTAAACTAATTTTAAAAGGTGAAAAAGAACACAGAGGTCTTGAGTATTTGTCTCAGTAGTTAACTAAGTCCAGTGAAAGGTCACTGGAACCAGACAACAAAAATTTCTGTGGAAAATCATAATTTTCCTCCCAGAAGATTTATTTTGCTACCCAGTGAAGAGATTCTCCAAGTAAAATACCTAATTAATATTTGTCAGTGCTGCCTACACAAGCCTACACATCGGTCCCTTGTGTATGCCAGTGGGTGATGCAGGGAGAGAAGTGGTCATAGTGTTTTTCCCAGTAACTGTATTTTACTGGCAGAGAATCTGTATTGCTTTTTAGCAGTATTAAGCCCAAACATAACTCCAAATATGTTTAGTTAGAACAATGAATAAACTATCTGATTGAAAATCAGGATTAGCTTTCCCACTGTTACCAGTAAACACTTTGATGGCTTGAACTCCAAAATACATCTGAGATACTGTTGTTAATACTTAAATTTGTCATTTTGGCACTATCAGCTGAAGACCAGGAAACTTTGTTTTCCTCAAAACAATCAACTCCCATATTAGTCTGTTAGATTTTTCATGCTGGTTTTGCCAGTGCCAAGTTAATGTCTGTTTTCTAATGTTGCAGCAAATCGAAAGACAATTTAGGTATGCCAGCAGGTTGTCTTCTACTAAGAGCTTGTTCATTTCTGTTGGATTTTTGGGATTCATCAGAATGTAATTTAAACATCTGTTTTGATTGGCAACACCAGGAAATGCTAGGATTTTTTCCCAAAAACACTGTCTGAATGCAGTTTTGATCCTCTTCTCGTTGTTTGTAACTTCATTGTCTGAAAATTTGACTCTGCAAGACAGCAGGTTAACTGAAAAGCAGAATTTTGCGTTTATTTTAGGTATGTGATGACTTTGGCAACCTGTGATGAGTTACAGGGTGATTTCTAAAACAGGAAATCAAGAGCCTGTGTTGGTCAGCTGTTGAGGGAGGAGGGGCTGGCTGCAGGCATACCTGTTAGGGGTGTGTCGTCACAGGAAGTCTATAAACCACCCCTTTCCAATGCCTCTCAATTTCTGGGGACGGAATTAAAATTTAAGACTGCTCTGTATACTAGTAAGCATGGGAAACATGCTTCCTTTTTCAAGTTTGAATCTTATGAATTAACTTTTTGTGCCAAGTTATATGCAGTAATCTATCTGATTTGTGAAAGACTTGCTGTATTTTCAGTTCATTTTCAGTATGGTGAAGTCTCTAGTATAGCTTCTGCTACAGAACTACAGATATGATTAGATTTTTTTCCTTAAATTACATGTGAATTATTATTGAAGAGAGTTGTGTGAGATATTAAAAAACTTGTACTGTTCCTTTGCCATGTTAAATTTGGCAGTTTGGAGGCTCAGATAATGTCAGTTCTGTGGTATCTTCTGTCTTAGACATGTTTTGCTCTGCCTTTTGAAAGAGTCACATTGCTTTGTGAAATCTCTTACCATGTTACTTCAGTGGTAATTAGCCTTTAAATGGCAGTTATGAAATTTTGTATTTGGTAACTAACAATTTATATTCATAGTTAACATTTGGTAAAAATGTAGACAACTCTTAGGCAGTAATCATGCCTATGTTTTGGATGTGTTTTCCTGTGTAGGCAAATTTAGATATCTGAAATTCATTGCAGTTAATGGTAGTTTTTTTTATGCTTGCTGGCAGGGTACAGTCAGATGACTCAAAGCTGTCATGAGACCAGTAGGAGGAAGGATGCATCAGGAAGTGAGGCATTAGTAGTGTTTTTACTTTTTCTTCTTTGAAAAAACCACTCCAAACCTAGGGTTTCTCAGAGTAGTGAATACAAAACGTAGGAACAAAAGTTGTGACAAGTGTTAAAATTCAGGGTCACTTTCTTTTGTGTAGGTTGGGGCCCTTCTAATATACCTTGATGTGCCTTATTTGTGAATAGTATACAGCAGCTGTTCTAATACACAGTCTAATTTTCTTCAGGATAAATTAGATCCATTCTCCCCTCTTCTGTCCAGTCTCATTTTTAAAAGCTGGAGTCCCATGTAATGCCTGTGTGAAATTTTTACGTAGTTAATCGATGTAGGAGGCTCTCTCTCAGTTTCCTGCTAGTACTTGTTAAATGAATCATTATATAAATAAACCAAATAACTTCTTTTCCCCTGTGGAGGCTGACCTCAAAGATGCATTTAGCTGGTGAAGATCTTGAGGAGGTGCTATGCTTTGAACATAGAACAGCTTCAAAATCGCAAATATCTCTCTTTCTCGCTATTAGTGAAATATTTGGCATAATAGAAAGCTTAATACAAATTTTTCAATGCCAGCTGTGCCCAGACATTTAATATCCTGTGTGAAGTGATCATACCAAACATTCCGCTCAGGATGCCTCTGGCAAATGCATGTTGCTGTCATAGAGCACAGTTTTTGAAGGGTCACTGAAGTACCAGAATGAAAATCCACATGATTGTATGTGCTTAGCCACAGCATTAGCAAGTCAGAATTGTAAATTTGCACTGATCAGTCTCAAGCTATAATTGGAATGTCATTGTATTCTAATCCCTAGAGGGGCTCCTTGGAATGAGAAGTGAATAAGCTTTATCCTGTTGTTTCCAGAGAAATGCTGTGATAGTCAGTTCATGTTAAGAAGGCTTTTTATGAATTTGTGTGTGCTGTTAGAATTACCTATACCCATTCTTGGTTATGTAGTTGTCATCTTTAACCCTCTTATGCTGAAGGGTTAAAATATTTCCCTAATGACAGCTCTGTGGTATGCATTGCACCAGGGCTGTTAGAGTTGGCTGCTGGGGGTCTCTTACTGAGCTGTGAAACTACTGTTGGGATTTAGAGCAAAAGCACAATTAGAGTTCAGAGTAACTACCAGGTGGAACTGCTGTGTCCTGGGACCCTCTGTGGGAAGTGATGGGAACAGCAGCTCTCTCTGATGAAGCAGTTAGGCACCTTTGAAAAACTGGTTAAGTCTCGG